TAGTTTAGGGGCTTCTTCCACCAGCTCTTTGGCATCATCTCAGAGCAGTCACCATCAAGGAAATGACTGGGTTGTAGAGGCTGGCAAATCCAAAAGTTGTGGGCTGTGCCAGGCTTAGCCTGACTTAGGTGGCTGAACAGACAAATTGAAACTGTTAGATCAGACGACAGGCTGCTGGCTCGCAAGGCTAGTTCAAGGTGGCTAGGTGGCTAGGGCAAGTTCCAAACAACTAGAGGTTAGGTGAAGATGAGCCAAATTAATATAGGATCCAGAACAGCAGGAGGGATTTTGCCAGATTCATGTATTTTGGATGCATGCCATACCCTAAAGGGAGGGATGCTTGAGCAAGATACTACAAGTGTGGTGACACTCGATAGTAAGGTGGTGACATCTTACCCTAATCCTGCCTCATTATTGTAAGAAGGAACTCATTCCCAGATGAGACCATAACCACAGGCATCTCGATGTATTCATAAAATGGAGGACAATTGTATGACAACCAAATTACATGTCACTCTCAAACCACTGAGAACAGGGTCCAGTTGACACATAACTTTAACCATCTATGTTCATGGTCCATGGACCTTATTTGCATTAACAGCAAGCTGTCTAATTGTAGTGGACCACAAGCACTTTATTTGCATATTGTTATGTGCCATTGATTGGGTTCCAACCCATAGCCACAATTTGCACCGGAGAACAAACGCCGCCTTCAGCTTCCGCACCACCCTCACAATCGTTAGGTCTGTATTCATTCCTGCAGCCGCCACAATGGTCTGCCCCATTAGAGGTCTTCCTCTTTGTTTCCGACCTGCTTTACTAAATGGGATGTCCCTTTTCAGCGACTGGTCTCTCTCGATAACATGCCCCGAGAATGCGAGACAAAGTCACCGCATCTTTGCTTCTAAGGAATGTTCTGGTCATACTTTTCCCAAAATAGATCTGTTTTCCATGGGACTTGAGGTCTTCTTTGCCAAGACTATAGTTCAAATAAATGCTTCGTATTCATTCGTTTGCAAAGTCCAATCCAGTCACTGTGTGGGAGTCAAAGAAGCTGTAGCTGGTCGGGCCATATTAAGAATTTACACTACAAATTTGCACTACAATCTGCACTACAAATTTGGACCAGGATTGTCTTATGTGTACAGACCACTTTGGGTCGGACTGACTTTCCCCAGGAACATGGTTTGTTCTTCCACTTATGTAGGTCTGTTTTAATTTCTTGTAATAGTGTTTTTTTTAATTAAATACTTTTATTCAGGGCGCTCTTACATCTCTTATCACAATCCATACATTCCTCCAGTGTGTCAAGCACATTTGCACGTATGCTGCCATCATCATTTTCAAAGCATTCTCTTCCCACTTGAGCCCCTGATATCAGCTCCCCATTTCTTCCCCTTCCCTCCCTCAATTTCTTGTAGTGTTTACTAGTTTCTTTTGTATACATCTTTTATGTCACTGGTTAGATTTATTGCTAAGTATTTTATCGTTTGGGGTTTTTTTTCAAATGAGAATTGTTTTTTCTGATATCCTTTTGGACTTTTGTTTTATCGTAGAGAGGAATCCAACTGATTTTTATCTTCTA